GCTGGAATCTCCTTAGAAAACACAGGTTTTTGTGCAGAGGCCCGAATTGCTAAGCGAATCGCAACATTGATCGGGTAGTGTCGTAGGAGTTAGATTTTGGATGGATCACAGGTTATCGATCGATATCGATTGAAAATATCGGTTTTTGCGCAGAGTGCTCGAATAAGGTTGGGAATCACATTATTGATTGATGGCTGCAGTAGTAGTGGAAATCCCAATGAGTTCACATGCTATCGATCGATATCGATTGAAAATATCGGTTTTTGCGCAGAGGGCTCGAATAAGGTTGGGAATCACTATTGATTGAGGGCCTGGTAAAAGTCGAAATTCTATCGGGTCACATGCTATCGATCGATATCGATTGAAATCCTTGGTTTGCGCATGGGGTGCTGAATAAGGTTGGAAACCATTAGTGAATGATGGCATGCAGTAGTTAGTGGGAATCCTCAATGAGTTACATGCTACTATCGATCGGATAATCGATGGTATCAGGGTTTTTCGGCAGGTGCTCGTTTGCTCGAGTAAGGTTGGGAAACCACATTATCGATTGATGGCTGCAGTAGTAGTGGAAATCCCAATGAGTCACATGCTATCGATCGATATCGATTGAAAATATCGGTTTTTGCGCAGGGTGCTCGAATAAGGTTGGGAATCACACTATTGATTGATGGCTGCAGTAGTAGTGGAAATCTCAATGAGCCACATGGTATCGATCGATATCGATTGAAAATATCGGTTTTTGTCTGGGAGGCTCAGATTTGCTTACTAATCACACTATAGATTGATGGGGTCGCAACAATTAAAATTCTATTAAGTCACGTGGTATCAAGCAGTATCGATCAAAAATATCGGCTTTCATCAAGTAGGCTTGGAAAGACCCCTAGAACCGAATTAAAAGGGTTTTGTGGCAAGCTCCGCTCATCACTGCATTGGTTACTTTCTCACCCTCCATCTCCCCGTTGACCTATCTTCCCGCTTTATTGATCTTGTCACTTCTTTCTCGGTTCTGGGACTTCTCTGAACCGACTTATGCCAAGTTTGCAATAACGCTGCCTACTTAAGGACAGGCTCCTGCTGTGGGTGGGCTCCCACTGAATTTCAGGTATGTTGAAGACACCTTAGATGTTGTTCTCCTAAACCGATTTTACTACGGCTCAATAGGTTTTCGCCAGGTTATTAGTTCTTCTTATCGAGAAACACTCCTTCAGAGAACGCTCCACCCACAACGGGCGGGCCTCCCAGATTCGACTTTTAAACCCAGTGCACACACTTTATTCTTTTTTTTCGGTGTTTTGGCCATACCAATACCCAAACTTGATGCATTCTGCCGTCGGCTGCTCCTAACTCGACGCATGCCCCGCCCACTGTGGGCGGAGTTTCCCATGGTCCGTGTCTGCCCCTGTAGCCTGACTCATTCTCTACCCATCCCGAACTTGACCTGGACCCTGATGGTGGTTCCTTAGATAGTACTTAATTTTTTTCAAGTAGACACACAAAGGCTCAGCCCTCTATATCCCCTCTATCCTCTTATATATAAAGCAGCAGTTTGGTGTGTTTGTCTGTTTGTAACCAGGGGCTCGCACGCTACGTAGAGACCCAAGAAAACAGTTAAGGCATGGTCCCGGATGGGTAGGAAGCTGCCCCTTGGGCGTGTAGGGTGAAGGTAGGGCTTGGTTAGAAAGGGTATGGTAGTGGGCGGGGCCCGGCCAGGTGGGCGGGGCTTGCGCTGGAATCTCCTTAGAAAACACAGGTTTTTGTGCAGAGGCCCCGAATTGCTAAGCGAATCGCAACATTGATCGGGTAGTGTCGTAGGAGTTAGATTTTGGATGGATCACAGGTTATCGATCGATATCGATTGAAAATATCGGTTTTTGCGCAGAGTGCTCGAATAAGGTTGGGAATCACATTATTGATTGATGGCTGCAGTAGTAGTGGAAATCCCAATGAGTCACATGCTATCGATCGATATCGATTGAAAATATCGGTTTTTGCGCAGGTGCTTGAATAAGGTTGGGGAATCACGCTATCGATTGATGGCTGCAGTAGTAGTGGAAATCTCAATGGACCACATGGTATCGATCGATATCGATTGAAAATATCGGTTTTTGTCTGGGAGGCTCAGATTTGCTTTGCTCTAATCACACTATAGATTGATAGGGTGACAATTCAATTTCTATGTGAGGGTCCGTGGTATCAAGCCAGTATCGATCGATATCGGGTTTTATCAGTAAGCTTTGGAAGACCCTAGAACGATTAAGCGTATTTTGGCAGCTCCGTCACGTGGCCGACGTTTCTCCCCGCCTCTTCCCGTTGACCTATTTCCTCTTATCTGATCTCTGTCACTTCTTTCTCGGTTCTGGGACTTCTCTGAACCGACTTATGACAGTTTGCAATAAACGCTGCGCCTACTTAAGGACAGGCTCCTGCTGTGGGTGGGCTCCCACTGAATTTCAGGTATGTTGAAGACACTTAGATGTTGTTCTCCAAACCGCAGTTATACTACGGCGCTCAATGAGCGTTTTCACCACGGCTGTCAGGCGTGTATTAGTTCTTCTTCTTATCGAGAAACACTCCTTCAGAGAACGCTCCACCCACAACGGGCGGGCCTCCCAGATTCGACTTTTAAACCCAGTGCACACCTTTACTCTTTTTTCGGTGTTTTGGCTATACCAATACCCAAACTTGAGCATTCTGCCGTCGGCTGCTCCTAACTCGACGCATGCCCCGCCCACTGTGGGCGGAGTTTCATGGTCCGTGTCTGCTTCTCAGCTGACTCATTCTCTACCCATCCCGAACTTGACCTGGACCCTGATGGTGGTTCCTTAGATAGTACTTAATTTTTTTCAAGTAGACACACAAAGGCTCAGCCCTCTATATCCCCTCTATCCTCTTATATATAAAGCAGCAGTTTGGTGTGTTTGTCTGTCTGTTACCACTAGGGGGGGGGGGTATATATCCCGGATGAAACGGGAAATTCTCTACTTCCCCCATTCAGTCCTTCCCCAAAATATCGTATAACTTCGTATAATGTACCACACTCCTCAATTCGAGCTTTCTTGACTTGTCACGTTCACCTCCAAGTACGGCTCCTCCCGATTAACTCAAATCCCACTATTGACACCATTTATTGAGAGCTACGAAGCACTCATTTACCCTGCCACGAGAATCCTTCCTCTCCAGCCGTGTCTCGCGCGCGGTATCGTGCGCAGCTAAACTGTATATATATATATATATATATATATATATATATATATATATATATATATATATATATATATATATATATATATATATATATATATATATATATATATATATATATATATATATATATATATATATATATATATATATATATATATATATATATATATATATATATATATATATATATATATATATATATATATATATATATATATATATATATCGTATAAATATAATTAGGATATCGTATACTAATATACCTACAAGCAAAGTTTCAAACTTGAAACAACGGATTCCACTGATGGGCACCCAGGTTGTATCGAATTAGTACAAAAGTTTGGGACAGCATTCCTTCATGCTTGTGTGGTGTCATTCTGCAAAAGAGTGCTTCTTGGAACAGTAATATAATCAGGTTCGGCGTTAACTTTTCGAGTTCTGGAAGAGGGGCGGAAGCCTTTACACAGGTTCGCCGATGGCCGCCCATATGGGCTGCCAAAACATGCGCTCCTGGGACGATGGCAGCCCATATGGGCTGCCAACTGATAATCGCTTGCCAGGCGCTAGGAATGGACAGATAGGTGGGCAAACCTCGTAATCGAGTGTGAAATGCTTTTAAATTCCTTCACGGGGAAAGCGAATAAATGCTCTCATTTCTTAACCACTGTTCGTCGTTCTTATCGAAATACTACTACTATATGTCTGGATTGTTTTTTTTTTGTTTTGCTTTGTTTTGCTTTGACCTTCGTTTTGCTGACGACATCGTTTATAACGGCGAGAGTGATTTCGACTGCGCCTGTGGTAAGGTCGGTCTACAGCTGAACCTAACGAAGACGATGTTTATGAGAAACGGATTGGTTCCTGATGCCCCATTCACGCTCAACGGAACGAACATCACCGAATGCTCCAGCTACGTGTACCTAGGTCGGGAAATCAATATGATGAACGATCTAGCTCCAGAGCTGAGCAGGAGGAAACGAGCGGCTTGGGGAGCGTATAAGAACATCGAGGGAGTAGTGAAGAAGACGAAGAACATCCGGCTCCGTGCCCACCTCTTCGATTCCGCTGTCCTTCCTGCCCTAACCTACGCCTCAGAGACTTGGACTCTGCGCAGGCAGGAGGACGAGCATGCGGTCAGCGTTATCCAACGCGCTGTCGAGAGGACGATGCTAGGAGTAACCCTATACACGCAAGTGCAGAGGGGAATCCGGAGTGCCGAACTACGCCAACGATCGAAGATCAGGGACGCTGCCGTTTTCGCCAAGGAATCGAAGATAAGGTGGGCCGGACACGTCATGCGATTTTGCGATGACCGTTGGACCAGAGCGGTTACCGACTGGATCCTCGGGACGTCAAACGAACACCTGGACGACCGCCGGCCCGATGGTCAGACTTCTTCACGAAAGCTCTGAACGAAAGGAATGAAGGATTCGTGTCCCTCGAGCGAGGAGGATCCACTGGACAACTCTTGCACGCGACAGGGACGAATGGAGACGTTGCTGGCGCCCGCTCGAGCAATTCGATGATCAACGGGACGACAGGTGATACAGGTGATGTGTTGGATAATCTTCACGCATTGAACATTGCTGAAATTATTTTGTGACATTCATGTTTTTGTTCATTTACAAAACAAAATCTGCGGTTATGTGGTGAGGCGGCGGCGCCCACAAAATCGCGTCCGTCCCACGCGACCGAAAAGTGGAAAAGGGGCGTCGTCGTGAATGTGTTAATAATGCATCGGTAAAAGGCTTGAATAAACTGGATTCTTCGCAGGTAAGGATTTCTTAAGCACTGTTCTAGTGTAGGCTGCGATAAAAGGCTCCTTGAATGGTGAAATACTCACAATGTAGAGGTGTTTTGTGTCTGCCTTTTTTTGTAAATTATTTAACAAGAACTGCAAATTGGAAAACTTACCATCGTCATTCAAATGCTTGACATCTCTGGTTGACCCATACGCTTGAGTGTTAGATACATCATCGAAAATCTGAACAAAGAATCCTATTCACATAATCCAAGCATATTTAAGCGTTAGGAGTAGGACCATTCGTCAGACATTCTTACCTGTGAAGTTTGGATTGCGCTGTTTCAAAGCGAGACTAGTCATATATCGGCTTCGAGTTTCATTTAGTATGGACTGTTGGGAGCGACTTGCTTCAGTTACCGCGACACCATGCGAACTAGTCGAAGCCTAGAGATAAGGCTTAAGGATGACTTTTTGAAATAGAAATCACCATCATAAGTGCAACAGATGTAGTGCGCAAATTAATGTTCAGTGTGTGCTTTGAAACTGTGCAGCAATTAGTTAAACACTGGAACTCCGAATTTCCACCTCAGCAAAAAGCGGCTTTGGTGCAAGGAGCGCGGCGGGGACGAACGCTACGCACTCAAATGTCCCACCAGAACTACTCTGCTTCACTCTCATTAATGCCAACTCGCAGAGTCACCGGCTCTACCCTTTATTTCGAAAAACGAGAAGCTCATTGAGTCTTTACTGGCGGTGTGAGGCAGACTACACCACTAACTATAGACTGCACCACCTCAACTTCTTCCCCAGCCATACGTAAAAGAGATGGCAAAACATTATTTGAAGAAGAAGTGGCAGCTTCATGATGAGCATAAACGGAGGGGGGGGGAGTGGTCAATGGCTGCATCGAACAGAAAGGTAAGAAGCAAGTGTCATACCATCCGCCTGGTGAGATATTCTTGAGTAAAGCAAAAAAACCTCCCCCTAGCTCAAGCACTGAAGCAAGCAAGATCTGCACTGTCTGCCAGCTAATACTGTTGATAAAACTATTGCAACTAAACGCACAACTCGAAAAAAAGTGGCCTTTCTATAATAACCGAGACCACGCGTTTCGAAGATAACGCAGCTCGAGATTCTAAGACTTGTGAGAAGTCCCATCGCATACTGCCTTCTTTCAGCTGCCAGCTATCGTTTTTGATTAACGTTACCTTGTGGGCAAAAAATGGATTTAAGAATACCACGATATGTACTTCGTCACCTTTTCCAGCTCGAAACCGCCGACTAACTGAGAGTATGATATCGACTATTCGGTCAATTGGACAGCGAGTAACTCAATATTGAAGGCACTGTGGTGATAACTGATACTGCTCTCTTCCAAATATTATAGCTCAAAATATTTTTTCAGCTGTGGCACAATTTTTGGGACACCCTGATGTTACGAAAAGTGAGCAGAGTTGAGATGAAAAAAAAACAGAGACTTCCGACAGAGACAAAATATGGATGGAGTCCGCTCTACGCAAGTTGTACCAATTTATCAATCACTTCTTCTCCGAAATGTCAATGAATCCGAATGAGCGAAGTGTACCGAGAAGTCCGCTTCATTGCAGCAATTGTTCTGTTTAGTTTCTATTGCTCAATGGTACTGAAGATAAATAGGAAGCTGAACTGGATTCGAGCGCAAATCTCCTGAACTTTGTGTTGTGTTGTGTTTTGAGTGAATCATTCTACGAAAGTTCTAACGAGAATAAAGATTCAATGGATAGAATGAGGTCCCATCCATTGCTTTGTGCAATATGTAAAGGCACAGAAGGGCGATAGCATTTGCCAGCTTCTGTCGTGCAGGGCTAGGAATAAGAGCCTCTAGGTAAGTAGCCACGCTTATCCTGGAGCGGAAAGCATAGGGGCTTATTGTCTTGTGAGCGCCCGCTCGAGGGAATTCGCCACGCTCAACGGAACGAACATCACCGAATGCTCCAGCTACGTGTACCTAGGTCGGGAAATCAATATGATGAACGATCTAGCTCCAGAGCTGAGCAGGAGGAAACGAGCGGCTTGGGGAGCGTACAAGAACATCGAGGGAGTAGTGAAGAAGACGAAGAACATCCGGCTCCGTGCCCACCTCTTCGATTCCGCTGTCCTTCCTGCCCTAACCTACGCCTCAGAGACTTGGACTCTGCGCAGGCAGGACGAGACACGCGGTCAGCGTTATCCAACGCGCTGCTGTACGAGGACGATGCTAGGAGTAACCCTATACACGCAAGTGCAGAGGGGAATCCGGAGTGCCGAACTACGCCAACGATCGAAGATCAGGGACGCTGCCGTTTTCGCCAAGGAATCGAAGATAAGGTGGGCCGGACACGTCATGCGATTTTGCGATGACCGTTGGACCAGAGCGGTTACCGACTGGATCCCTCGGGACGTCAAACGAACACCTGGACGACCGCCGGCCCGATGGTCAGACTTCTTCACGAAAGCTCTGAACGAAAGGAATGATGGACTTCGTGTCCCTCGAGCAAGGAGGATCCACTGGACCACTCTAGCACGCGACAGGGACGAATGGAGACGTTGCTGGCGCCCGCTCGAGCAAATCGACGATCAACGGGACGACAGGTGATACAGGTGATGGAGTAGGAAACTTTACGAGGCTACGATTTTTCACAAGGGCTCTGAAGGAACAACGTTCTGTTCCGTTACCATGCGGTTTTGCCTGACAGAACGCTGGTGCGCTATTTGCTTGATTCCTGAGTGCTAATCAACTGTATGCACAAAAAAAAACAGTCAAGATCAGTATCAACCGCCATCTGGCGAGTCAGCGGGGAAGTCATGTTCTTGATTCTTGAGACGTGGAAGGGGATCGTATACGGGATAGGAGAAGGTGAAGTGGACGGGGGGATTTGTTTTGGAGGTTGCAGGGATTGTGGCTACTGGAGAGGTAGCCGTTTAAGCATTTTGAAAATTCTGGGAAAAACTTCGAAATACAAGCATGAAATGGATAGAATCAAGCATTCGCCATTTCTTTCATATTCACCTCCCGCCACCCTCCTCCCCCTACTATGAAAACAACCGTGTTGGTGTGGGTGGTGGTGAGAAGTGATGACGGTCACATTTGTGGGATCCCCTTCAGTGGTGATAGGAGGCCGTATCAAGATCACCTTAAGGGGAGGGGACGTTCACAAAATTTCCGAATCAGCCCAACACGACGGTTGAGACTAGTCTCACTACCGACTGCTCAGATTGAAAGACCACTGAGCGGTATCCAGGTCCGATTTGGCTCGGCAAATTCCGTGCATCATGCGATATCGGAGCCTCGGTGAAGTGAACTCCGTGGTACGTGCGCTGTTCAATTAATAGACTACGCAGGCGGCTGGAACCCGACTTACTGTCATATCTTGGAAGGATTCCCCACTAATAACGAGTCACAATTACCTAATGGCTACTTGACTGATTCGAAGGGGTTGCATGATTTTGGTTGTATTTCTTAGCAAACAAATGAACAAACCGAAATGCAATTTATGAACTCTCGCTCCCTGCATTTTAAATTTGACACGAAAATTCAAACGATGAACGTAAACACAAAGAAGAAGAATCATAAACAAATCGCGCAGGGAAACAGGATTAGGTGAGACATCACAAGCAAAATAATAGCACTCGTAAAATAGTGGAACTCTACCAGTAGGACACGACTGTACATTAGCTACTGCAGTTAAAAAGTTATACCTTCTGCTGGAATTGTGAGCTCTCGTCCCCAAGCGAAAGATTGCTAGCATTCCTATACTGCGGACATTTGTGTCGCCTGGAATACAAATTGGATATATTTTCTTCGGTAACAGGTCAAAATGTGATGAAAAAAGATGACTCAAACTATTGCTAATCGACGTAACATTATGAAATATGCTTTCTTGTTTTCGCATGTTGCGCCCATACTCAGTGCAACGATAAGGTAAAATCGCTCGAATGGCTTGACATAAATCCACTCGTAGCCCATTACTCCCCACATAAACAACAACACCAACACTAAAAGTTTCTTCCCCATCAAATATGGTACTTATTCTTGTTAAATACGGAATGGTACAGGTTCTTTAGTTGAATACCTGAGCCGAGTTGTTGGTTATATCACATGTGACTATTGAATGTCTTACCAGGAAAGGTCATTTGGTCAACCCGGCCATTTGAAATGAGATGTATATGTGTATACGCGCCTTGGGACGCTGAGCTCAAATATGTGTTCCTTATCTGCTGAACTCTTCTCTGAAAGGAATTATGAAGCAGAAAAGCGCAGGGGCTGTGGTCGAGGCTCACGAAAAAGAGGTCAGGGGATCAACTCCCTGGCGAGTTTGTTCTTTTGCCGTTTGCAGTAAGATAGCTAGGAAGACTCCTAACATTGCTAGTCCAACATGCTTGCGTATAGTTAACAGTACAAAGAATTTGAGGGCAATTAATAATGAACTTGGGCGGCACCGCATTCGTCTGTCTGCAGTCGCGGCGAGCGGTCGGTCCGTGATCAATGTCTGAGTCGACCCCCCAGCTCGCTACCCCTCTATGGAATGCCCCGAAAAAGAGGAAGCCTATGTCTCCTGTTCTGGCTAATATTCAATCGACTGCTATTCCTTGACGACGATGCTGCCAAACTATTGAGTAAAATATTCAGCAGATTCTGGCAAATAAAGCCCCAGAAGCACTTCCGCTATTGGAACAACTACTCGCAAAATTATCATCGCTGCCCATGGATGCTATTCATGCTGAGAAGAGAGAGCGCTCAGTCGTTATTCATGGCGTCCCTGAGGCCGAAGCTGGATTATCTGCTTCACTTCGACAGCAGCATACCGAGAGGTGTGTTTCCAAGATCCTCGACGTTCTTGACATTGAGACGCGTCCACTTGAAGTGTTCCGAATGGGTAAAGTTGGCCAAAAGCCCAGATTGATCAAGTGTGTTTTTAGTTCAAGAAAGTTCATGTTTGAAACTCTTTCTAAAGCAAAACAATTGCGTTCTTCTTCCGAATTTTCTAGTGTGTTTATGTGTTTATAAGGAAATCAATGACCCCCGAGCAGAGAGCCATCGATCGTGATCTCCGCAACCGCGCCTACGAACTCAATCGGGACGAGCACAACGGAGAACGAGTATTTGTAGTCTACAAAGGCGAAATTGTAAAAGCCTCCGAAATTCAGCCCATGAGAACTTTCTCTAGCAAAAAACTGAGTAGGGTAGATTGCTTCGGAAATGATTGCCATTCCATGTCGTCTTTCTTTTCTACAGTTTCTATCTTATATACCAATATCAGGTCTTTCCCCAGAAATTGTGCTTTTCTTGATGTCGTTGCTGCTGCAAAATATGATTTTGTATTTTTTTTACTGAAACTTGGCTGAAAAGCCATCATTTTGTGCCGGCTATGCTTAGTAAATGGATTGAGGAGTATGCTATTGTCCGTTGCGATAGGAGTCGGAGGGCCGGAGGTGGAGTTGCTATGTTTATAAGAAAAACCCTAAATTATTCTACTGTAATATCTGAGTCCGTACCCAGTGGGTATGAAATCTTAGCCGTGGACGTCGCTCTTCCCGACCCATGCGTTAGAATCGTACTAATATACAGGCCGCCATCGTCCCCTCCCTCCATCAATGAACAACTAGGAAAAGTAGTTAGCGATCTAGCTGCGGTATCAATGCCGGTCCTTGTGGTAGGTGACTTCAATATTCCAGAGTTCGACTGGGCGCAATGGAACAATATCAGAGATATTTCTCATCCACTTTTTGACACCTTCGCAACCCATGGGTTCAAACAATACGTTGATCATCCCACAAGGGGTAACAATTTGTTGGATCTTCTGTTTTCAAACGACGGAGAGCTAATAAAAGATGTATCAGTAAAGTCACCAATCGGCCATAGTGACCATTTTTGTGTTTCTTTCAAGATTACTGGACGTAGCATTCCCTGTACCCCTGTTTTCAAGAGGCTTTTCACCAAGTGCAACTACTCGGTGATTAGCAGATACTTATTTAATATTCAATGGATCCCCTCATTTGAAACGGTTTCCAATGTTGATGAAAAGTACATGATGTTCCTCTCTATACTGAAGCATACCATAGATCTGTTTGTTCCTTGTGGTTATTTCGTTCCGACCAGAGATCACCTCCCGGTCTATCTACAAAACATGATGGACCATAGAGACTGTCTTCTACAGTATGCTAGGCGGACCGGTGACTGGACTGAGTATAAAGCCTTTTCGGCCAAATTTTCTGAAAAACTCATCAAATACAATAGAAGTGTGGAAAAGAAGATTATTGAGTCCAAGAATAAGCATCGCTTTTTCAATTTTATGAGGTCAAGACTTCGTAGCAAATCACTACTTACGGATTTGAAACTGGATGGTAGACTCCTGGTAAATGATCTTGAAAAGGCTAATGCCTTGGCCTCAGAATTTGACAAAGTGTTTCAGCAGGACAATAACTGTCTTCCTCCATACTCGCCCAATGTAACCAATGAAATGTTGACATTTCCCTACTTTGACGCGAATGATATCTACAATCTCTTGAAAAATTGGCCCTGTTCCTCTTCCATTACGCCAGATCAAGTTCCTTTCGAATTCGTCAAGAATATTGCTCATGCTATTGCCTTCCCCTTATCGTACCTTTTCAATCAGTCCATTATGTTCTCGCAAGTCCCTAGCTTGTGGAAACACTCGTACATCACTCCTATCTTGAAAACTATGCCCTCGTCCGATATTTCCAATTACAGACCCATCAGCATCACATCCATTTTTTGCAGGCTGTTTGAGAAGTTGCTAAAAAAGCATATTCTTTCAACATCTTGCTAAGAACTGCACGATTCCTGACTCACAACATGGTTTCGTATCGGGGAGATCGGTAATTACAAATATGCTTGAGTCTCTCAATGACTGGACTGAGGCTTTAGATAATAAGAAAAGCGTGGATGTGGTTTATTTTGACTTTACCAAAGCTTTTGACAAAGTGAGCCATCAAAAGTTACTGTACAAAATTTATAAGCTCGGATTCCATGAGAAAGTATATAAGTGGATCGAGGAATATCTCTGCCAACGCACCTATCAAGTTCGTATAAATAATTCCTATTCAAAAGTATTCTATTCTACCAGCGGAGTGCCTCAAGGAGGGGTGTTATCCCCCATACTTTTCAATATATATTCTGCGGATTTGGCTCCAATTAGCTCTCAGTATGGTGTTGTTTGTAAGCAATACGCTGATGACCTGAAATTCTATAAAGTGATCAATTCCCCACAGGATGCTGAGTCCTTGCAGTCCTCCATCAGTAGTCTTGTACAGTGGTCTGTAGACTGGCAGATTCCTCTATCTTCCTCCAAAACCTTTCACATGCACCTAGGCCCCCCTGCCCGTCCACATACTTCATAAATGGACAACAGATTTTGACAGTCGATGAGATTAAAGACTTAGGGTTCCGTTACAATAATAAGCTTGACTTTTCTCCACACTTCAAGCAAATTTACAAGAAAGCGTGCCACCGCACCTATCAAATTTTCAAAGCTTTGACAACCAAGGACAGCAAAACTCTCGTCCCAGTTTACAAAACTTATGTTCGCCCACTTGTTGAGAATGGGACTGTGGTTTTCTCGCCGCACAAAAAGAAAGACATTGCACTGATTGAGAAGGTTCAAAATAATTACACTAGAAAAATGCTGGTTCGTCGCGGTGGCTTCCTGTATTCAAGAATACCGAAGGCTGAAATACGGAATAAATTTTATGATCTCCCTTCCCTTCAGTCTAGACGTTTGTTCTTCGATTTATGCATGGTTCACAATCTTCTCAGCGACAAGTCCGCGGTTAAAATTTCACAATTCTACAGCCTTATTCCATCTAACACTAGGGGTGGTCACCTCAAATTGTCATTTCCCAGGCCGAAAACTTCCATCAGGCGTACCTTTTTCACGGTTAGGGCAGGTCTTGCATATTTACGTTATAGCAAATCCAATTGCTTCCCGAGCTCTCGGGCGTCCTTCAGACGCTCAATAGCAAAACTCGTAACTAAGGCATAAAAGGCATAATCGGCAACACTTCTCCACTGATTGACTTGTTTATATTTACCTCAGCTTCTCGTTGATGTTATAGTTTTATTGCGTATTTTCCTTTCTAACGTTGTCTTACACAGCGTATTGAATAAATAAATAAATAAATAAAATCTGCTGAACTCTTCTCTGAAAGGAATTATGAAGCAGAAAAGCGCAGGGGCTGTGGTCGACGCTCACGAAAAAGAGGTCAGGGGATCAACTCCCTGGCGAGTTTGTTCTTTTGCCGTTTGCAGTAAGATAGCTAGGAAGACTCCTAACATTGCTAGTCCAACATGCTTGCGTATAGTTAACAGTAAAAAGAATTTAAGGGCAATTAATAACGAACTTGGGCGGCATCGCTCCTCACTACTTTGGGCGCTTGTAGCGCAGGCGCCAGGCATTTTTGCTTCGAACAAGTATGATATTCGTAATCAGGGAGCCAGACTCTCCCTTTGAGCAAACTTCTAGCGAATTCTGAAATTTTGACCTAACCTCGAAAATTTGGGCAGTCACTTACTCACCGATCCACCAATCCATTACAAAAGGCTGGCACTTGGGTAGAATAAATTTTTTAAAAACTTTTCATAATAGACAAAAATTGTGTCTGGCTTGCCCGTCGCATCATCCAAAGATCTACAAACCATTATTTCCTAATACAACACCTTCTCTCCCCTTTCCCCGTCGTCCATGATTGGTCAACCCAAAAAAGTGGAGTTTGAGGAGTGGTAATCCCATCACTGCTCCGCTTTTTCTCAATTAGTTCGTCGCCTCAGATTTGGCGAAAAACTCGCTGTAAGGGGTAGTTTGATCCCCTGAATACGAATATCATACCTACTTGCCACGGAAAAGCATAGCACCTGCACTACGGGCACCATAGGCTTTCACAGACAAGTAGTGCTTAAGTTTAAGAGGGTCAGCTTGCAAACTCTTCGTAGATGTAGCGTCGGGCGACCATTGGTAAAATAACAGATTCAAAAAGGCTTTTCAGCCATGTTGGAAAAAAAGCAAAACAACAAACCCCGTAAGGGACCGAACCCCCGACCCCCTCCGTGAGAAACACGACCGCTACCAACTGCGCTACCGAAGCTCACATCACCAGTGCCTCGGTTCTCCTTTCGATACTTTTATAAGTGCGGCTAACATGTGATTGCAGGCAAAACACTGAAAATCAAGGGCGGCAACAAAAACCCTCCGTAACTCCTTTCAGAGAAGAGTTCAGCAGATATGAAAGCAGATTTGAGTTCAGCGTCTCATGCTGCGTACAGAAATGTGCACCTCATTTCATTTGGCCGGGTTGGCCTAATGACCCTTCCTGGTTAGAGGGGTATCCGGCAGGAGACCCGTCGCGCGGCAAGTAGGCAGAGTTAGCGGCCGAGTCGCAGCGAGTACTGTAGTGATTTCGCGTCAAGTTAAATAGGACGTAGCATTGGACTCAAGCCGTTTGGACACGGTGAGCACACGAAGTCAGCGTGCGCATTGACGCGCCAAAGAGTTGGCACTGGGGCGCGCAATGTCAATGTCATCGATTTTCATAAGTGCTCGCCTCCCACTTCTCGTTTTCTCTGCGCTCTCTCAACGAGGAGAGAATGTGTCGAGCAAACTCGCCAACTATACCAAGCGCAGTTAATCTAGAGGTGGAGGATGGGGTGCATGTGGCCTGGCCTGACGTGGGATGGCGCGGCAGGTGGGTCTGCCCGCGCGCGGAGCAGCGACCAGCTTCGCCGCGCAGGCGACAAGGCAAAGGCTACGACGTTTCTCCAATTTTAGATCATTACCCTGAAGAGCTGCGGTAGCCTCTCTGATTGCGTGACTTGTAAGACTGCTCCAGAAAGCGCGTCATGCGTCGCGCACTGTACGTGACTGCGGCAGGAACATCATAATTCATGCTGATTTCGGGTGCTCTCCGTGTCCAAACGGCTTATTTTGTGGCACTGTACGTCCTACATCGCAGATCACGCACTGCAATTTGTCCGCTGACTCTGCCTTCTTGCCGCGCGACGAGCCTCCTGTCGAATACCGAGTTCACTAGCCTATCGACCTCCAGCCAAAGATGGCGCGTGCGCAGCTTCTTTGTGATTGGCGCACAAAAACACAGCATGACCGCAGGCATCATCGTAAATATCTGACGCTAAAGCCCAATTCAAAAAGGCTTTTGACCGCATATGAGCGTATCGCAACATTATGATGAACATGGATCACTCCTAGATGGATGCATCTTCATAGGGTGCCTTTGTTAAGCGGATAACAGAATAAACGGTGAAGTTGATTCTGCTGCCTGGTTAACAAAAGAGTCCGTCAACCTTGATTAAAACTTGCATCACGCTTGGAAACGCGCTATCTTAGCTAATGCATCTGGTTGCCTTATATAACCCCAAAGGTGTGATAAGTAAAAAAACGCCAACCCACTGAAAATCAAGCAAGATATGCATGGCTGCTTTTTTTGCTCGTTGATTTCTACTTTGGGGCGAATATCATTAGTACTGAAGCATACATATATAAACCTTCGCTCTGCGTCCCTGCTCAGTGGCTAACATCCGCGGCAAGAGTCGTACGGTGAAAGGATGGTCAGTCCTGGAGAGTGTACGTTGTAAGCGACGCCAGTACGGCCCTGCTACCCCACTAGGATCACATCCTTCGCAGCGAAACGCGCATCGTTCCGCACACTGAGGGACCGCCTCCCCTTCCACTAGGTATATTTTTCGTTTTACCCTCCAGTACCCTCCAACCTTGACGTGGAGTTCTCCGCTAAGCTCCCTTCTAGCGTACAGATCAGGGAAATACCAGAAAAGGAGCTATATTCATAAGGTTGAGCATTTTGATACAATAGATCATGCAGATGACACCAGTATCGATTTGAAAGTGAAAGAAGCTTGAAACAAATCACGATGTGCAAAAAGGAACTACTAGGTTGAGTCAAACGTAAGTGCCGGTTCGACCGCAACTTTCAGAATTCATTACTTGTCTAGAGACTTTTTTTATCAAGTGCCAGTTTCACCACAATTTTTTTCACTGTGCTCTAGCTATCGCAGGTGTATGATTACTTCTCTCCCAGAACTATGCATTCCTCGATGCGAACAATAGTTGGACGCCCGTTCGAAGTGTTCGCGATCATACTGGCTTTCACCTTCAAAAACGAGCAAGCGAGCGGAACAACTTAAAGTTGGTTGGTATACCATTAAAGGGCAGGGTGAATAACGGTCGAGGAATTCCTCGACCACCGCTCTCTGCTGTGCGAGAGTAGTGCCGAGAGTGAATGTACGCGCGGAGAGCACAGACGGCTCGCGGGTGGCGAGAGTGAATATCCGCGCGCGAGAACGTAAAGGATCAGGCGAAAATCCTCGACGTGCCGTTGAGGAATCCTCGAGCAATATTCACCCTTTTAGCGGGCAAGAAGAGAGGATGAGAACAAGGAAGCCTGCCGCATAATATTCTGTCATTTCCTGGTTATATGAGGGTTGCGAGTTGCCGCGTGGGACAATTTCGTCTATTGTAAAACACAACTTCGCGATATTCGTAGCAAGTTCATACAGCTGCAAGCAGCAGGTGCCTGCGCAACCAGTGGTATATCTGTTTAAGTCTGAAATGATGCAATCCAAAATCTGGAGAGC